GTGTGGAAGCGCGGTCGGCGGGGGGGGTGGGGGGGGGGGTAACTGCGTTCCCAGGCATATTTGCACACGCGTCCGAATGCTTGAGTGATGTGAAGGACTAGAGCAAGCTTCTCCCTTTAGCCATACGAAGGAAATGAATCAAAATCTTGGTTCCAGTCCTATTTAAACCAGCTGGGCTGTAGGTAACATCTAGCCATCCACGAGAGAGTCGGCATGAAAAGTCAATGCACTGCAAACGGATGGTGGTATATACATAGATAAGCCCTGAATCAGCTATTTTGAGACCCTTCTCCATGTTCACATAACTGTCCCATTCCCTCCTCTGATCTCCCATTAGTAATTTGTGCAGTCAACTCTGATTTAAAGAAATATCCTCGTAAAGCTGGTCACACTGGGTTTGAAAGTCCATCTGTCCATGAGCTGGACTTGTTCACCTGGTGATTTTGTTTGTTTTGCAAGGGGAGAAGCGCACCTCCTCATATTTACCCATTTCTAATACACTCCCTCTCCCCCATAAGCAAACTAACAGCACTTCTCTCCTCCTCTGTCCTTCCAGAGAGTCTCCCAGTTGAACTGGATGTGCAATGGGGTAAGTCACCGGAGACTGGAGGTATACGGGGGTGAAAAAGGGGACCCAAGCGAGAAAAGACAGCAAAAGCAGGGAATTCACACTTTCCTGGCGGGTTGGCAAGATGAGTTTCTATTCCCCTTTGACTGGAATTAAAAATCACTAGAGCCTTTAAGTAGATCTGTATGACATATTTCATGGAGAAAGCCTTTACCAAGCAGCTTTAGTCAGGCCAAGATTTCAACCCTGGAAAGAAACAGGAGGGTGCAGATGGAGAGAAATATCCATCACCTTCCCTCTGACGTGCTGTTTTTCTTCTCTCGTGCTTTCCTTCCCATCAGCAAACGTGACTCTGGATCCAGACACAGCAAACCCCCACCTCATCCTGTCCGAGGACCGGAGGAGCGTGAGGTGGGATGAAACGCCCCAGAATTTGCCCAGCAATCCCCAGAGATTTGATACCTACTGCTCCGTGTTGGGTTGCGAAGGCTTCGCGGTGGGGAGGCACTACTGGGAAGTGCAGCTGGGGAGCACGGGATTTTGGGCTGTGGGGGTGGCCAGAGACTCTGTGTGGAGGAAGGGTTGGATTAACCTCGACCCTTCCCAGGGGATTTGGGCTGTTGGGCTCTCCCCCATCTGTGGGGACAGGTTTCAAGCTTTCACCTCCTTCGAGACAGTTCAGCCTCTGAATGGGAGGCCAAGGACTATCCGGGTCTCTCTGGATTACGAGAAGGGACACGTGGCTTTCTTTGATGCCGATAACAAGACCTTGGCTTTTGCTTTTCCTCCAACTTCTTTCAACGGAGAGAAAATCCTGCCTTTCTTCTGGGTTTGGGAGTCCAGGATCCAGCTGGCTCCCTGAGACAGCATGGGCAGCAAGATGGACATTACACGCTCTGGACAAGCCTTTGGTTTGATCCAGGAAACCAAACTGCGACTCTATGGATGGCAAAGAATAAAGTGGAGCAAATGAGTCCTGGCGTCCACTTTGAATCTCATTCTCATGGGGCTTTCAAGAGCAGCAGATTGAGAAGGGATCACCTTGGACAGACCTCTGGATTTTTTTAGCATTTGGGTACTCTCCAAGATTTTGCTAGGGAATATCACCCTGGGACAAGCAGGAAAATGAAGCCTATAATGTGTGCAACAGCCCCCAGAACACCGATTTCACTGCTTTAATCCCTTCTACTCCTCTCCCATCCTTTCCAGTTTTTTCTTACCTTGACATCCAACAATGTTGACTGTTGACATTCAACAGTGATGTTTCTGCGGGGCTGAAGATGCTGGCTCTGGTTCCTGGATTAGTTAGTAGAAAGGAAAAGAGGATACCACTGGATTAAGTGTAATATCTGCTGCTTTCCCACCAAGACGACCTACGAGCCAAAAGCCTCACAGTATTGGCAAGAACATTCACATTTTTAAGGCTTTGGTGCTTGTGGTGGGTTGACCCTGGTTGGATGCCAGGTGCCCACCAAAGCCACTCTGTCATTGCCCTCCTCAACTGGACAGGGGAGACAAAATATAACAAAAAGCTCGTGGGTTGAGATAAGGACAGGGAGATCGCTCAGCAATTACTGTCATGGGCAAAAGAGACTCGACTTGGGGAAAATCAGTTTAATTTATTGCCAATAGAAACCGGGTAGGGTAATGAGAAATGAGGCCAAATCTTAAAGCACCTTCCCCCCACCCCTCCCTTCTTCCCAGGCTCAGCTTCACTCCCCAGTTTCTCTCCCGCCCAGCGGTGCAGGGGGACGGGAATGGGGGCTGGGGTCAGTTCATCACCCATCTCTGCTGCTCTTCCTCCTCAGGGGAGGACTCCTCACCCTCCTCCCCTGCTCCAGCGCGGGTCCCTCCCACGGCAGACAGTCCTCCACAAACTGCTCCAGCCTGGGTCCTTCCCAGGGGGTCCCAGCCTCCTCCGGGCACCCACCTGCTCCGGCGTGGGCTCCTCCCCGGGTGCAGGGCAATCTCTGCTCCGTGCCTGGAGCACCTCCTCCCCTCCTCCTGCACTGACCTTGGCGTCTGCAGAGTCCTTCCTCTCGCATATTCTCACTCCTTGCTCCAGCTGCTGTTGGTGTCCTGGGCTTTTTTTTTTCCCCCCCTTTAATACATTATCCCAGAGGCGCTACCACCATCACTGATGGGCTCAGCCTTGGCCAGCAGCAGGTCCATCTTTGAGCCGGCTGCATTGGCTCTATCAGACATAGGGGAAGCTTCCAGCAGCTTCTCAGAAGCCCCCCCCGTAGCCCCCCGCTACCAAAACCTTGCCGCACAAACCCACTACAGTGTTGAACCCCGTGGATTTCAGCTGCATTTCTCCGAGTTGTGGGGTGGGAGAAATCAGAGGTTGGAGGAGTGAAGATGAACAGAAAGAGCTTGAACTCTGCCTTTTTGCAATTTATATATATACATTTGGGTCAGGAAGCTTAGCATGCAATTTTATATAATGTTTTTATATGCAAAATGACCGTATTAAAGTGTCTTTCTATATTTCAAGGGCTGTTTTGTCTTTCTTGTTAGAGAGGAACTGGGAAAATGGTGGTGTGCTGCTACCAGCATGGCAAACCCTGGTGGCATTGCTACCTTCTCTTGACCTGTTTCTTGTAAAGCTCAAACGAAAACACTTAACGAAGCCTTTCTTGCTTCATCACAGTGGGGATGAGAGGGAATAGCAATGACTCTTCCTGCTTCTGTGCCTGAAAACCAGCTGCACTGGAAACCGGTTAAAAGGAAATGGCAAAGGAATGGTGCTGGAAAGAAAGAACAACAATTTTTGAAAGTAAGGACATTGAAAGAGCAGGAAAAGGAAGGAAAAGCATCAAGTCCAGACTCTCAGCTATGTCGCTGCAGATCAGAGAAGCCTGCTGGGACCTTGCAAGGTCTTGGAGGCACCAGCAATCTCCAGGGACAGTGAGCATCTTTGATCCATAGCAGTCTTTGTAGGGTGTTAGTCTGATGTCCCACCTTACCCCAAGGGCAAAGCTGAAGTCCCAGGGGTCAGGAGTGGCAAAAATTTCTTCTGAGAGCCAGGAAGGCCCTGCCCTGCAGCGAGCTGTACATTTGAACCCTTAGGGTCACCCAAGAGATGTTACAGTCCTCCCAAACAGCTCTACAGATGGTGTCCTGGAGGGTGCTGAGGTCCTTCCCAAGCCCTGGCCAGGTCCTGTCACTCCTGATATCTCAGAGGCATTTTTCAGCCAGTGGTTGTCTCCCACCCCAGCTGCACCACAACCTCTCTTAGGTGCTAGCAGGGTGTGAAGCTCCTGTTCTAGCTGCTGTTGAGCCACCAAATCCACAGGTCTCCAGTGATTCAAAGGACAGGCTTTGGACACTGAAAAATCCCAGTGCCTTTGGGAAAGGCTAAAAATAGGATGGGCATCTCCAATTCTTTTCCTCCCCAGCTGTCTAACTGCTACTTCCCAGCACCGGCAGAGTGATATAAATAAATATATTGCCTAAAGCCCTGCAATTGGTTTAACCCATTGCTTAGAATCAGGAGGAGAAACCTCTCTCCTTCCTGATAATTCAAAAGTGAAACAAACTTGGTCACTCTCCATGGCAGCCAGAAGGTCTGTGGAGAGCCTCAAAGATGAAGCCTCCTGCTCTGTCTGCCTGGAACTTTTCCAGGACCCCGTGTCCATCCTCTGCAGGTATAGCTTTTGCCCGGCGTGCGTTGCTCAGAACTGGGAAGGATTGACCACCAACTTCTCCTGCCCCCGGTGCAGGGAGATGGTGCCCCAGCAGAGCCTCTGACCCAACCGGGAGTTGGCCAACATCATTGAAGGAGCCAAGAGCTTGAACCTGCCACCAGTCACAGAGGTGGAAGGATGGGAGAACTTGTGCAAGGAGCACCAGGAAGCCCTGAAGCTCTTCTGCAAAGATGAGGAAAGGCTTATCTGCGTGGTGTGCGACAGGTCCAAGGTGCACCGTAACCATTCTGTGGTTCCCATGGATGAGGCCGCCCAAGAGTTTGTACTGAGGGGTTTTTGGCCACATTGATGCACAAAGGGCCAGAAGTTCCTGCTGTTGCTGCTCTTGATGGGTGCAGATACCTGTATAGCCTTTGGGCTGTGGGATAAACCACCTGTGGACTCACCCATCCTTGTCTCTTGATACCAACTCTTGAGGTGGCATTCCCTGTCCTGAGGAAGACGTGGATGTGGGAGCACCACACTCTTGAGAACCAAGGGCTCATCTCCCCCAGGGTTCAGCCAGGAGCAGAGGCTTGGGGACGAGTGAGAAACATGCATATGATTCCTCACCACCACGATCCCCGTGTAACCTTTTAACCTCACGATTTGCAACGCCAAGGCGTTTACTGAGCCTCATGAGGGTTTGTTTATCCAGCAGCC